GTCGACACCCTTCTCGGGGCAAAGACAGAAGAAAAAGAGGATCGTGCCGGGACAAAAAACCAGAAGAAACAGGAGAGTCAAGAAGCATCTTCTTAGCCTCAGGACTCATAACAAACTAAAACATAAGACAATTGAACGCCGACGTGGGCGTCCTATACGGACCATCACCCTGAAGCTCGTCCGCTTCGTCTGACGTAAGTTGCTAGGGCTCGACGGGGGTGTCGAAAAGTGGTCCGGGCTAAATGTCAGGCGGCCACAAGCAGTGCGCCGCCTGAAATCTACGGTTTTGGGACTTAGGCGCAGAGACGAGTCTGAGTTTTGACGGTACTCTGGTTAGAGCAGGCAGCGGAAATCAGGGGAGCTTAGGGCGCCCTTGATTTTGGGTGCGCTGAACCTTACGGGTAACCCTCAAAGATGGCAAGATAGGTGGTCGCACTCGGCACATCAACGGACCGTCATTTCCGGCCGTTCAGAGGGTTAGACCCGGATTGGCCTGCCGCGGGGAGGCATCGCGGGAACTGACCTCGCAGCCACATTTTTTGCGGCATATGACCGGGGTCGAAATGAGGCTCAAATTTTTGTCTATTTTAGTACCATAATTAAAGATGGGGAAAAGGGATTACGACCAGTAGGGGTAATTTCTCTATTTTTTACGGCATTTAATTCAAGGGGGAATACCCCTTTTATTTTATGTTCCCGACAATGAAATTAAAAACATAGAAAAAGATTATAAATGGTAAAAGAGAAAAGAAACAAAAGAAATTCGGCCATTCATTTAAACTTTCTCGGAATTTTATTTTGGGGATCTTACGGTTAATTTACTATTTCCAACAATAGAATTAAGAAAAGGGAAGAATGATGAAAAATGATGAAAGGGACAGGAATCCATGATTGTTAGGAGATTGGCCTAATTTCGCCTCGATTACCCGTCAGTAGCTCTGACTCCGGATTGAACATTTTTCCCGGATTTTAAGGGTTTTCACTACTGCCGATGGTCGAGGTTCCCTGCGTCGCTTTCCCTGGTTTGCTTGATTACTAACATTACCGCATTTGGGATGTTCTGAGAGCGGGAGTCGCATGGACAGTGTGGGATGGTGCTATTTGGACCGACATTATGGTATTTGGCACGGTACCGGGCATATTTCAGGTTCGGCGTGAGCTCGACATCGGCGTATATCAGGCTCGGGCACGTCAGCGTGATTTATTGTCAGGTTCGGGACCACTACAGCAGGTTATTTCAGGTTTGGGGTCGCTACGACAATTTATTTAAGCTCTGGCACCACCACGGCAATTTATTTCAGGTTCGGTGCCATCGCGACTATTGTTTTCAGGTTCGGTATGACTCGACAACGACATAATTCGGGTTCGGCGCTATCACAACAGTTATTACGTATTCAACATCGGTTTTGGTACACTCCACTGCACCGTGCTCGGGTTCGGTATCTGGCATCGGTTGGTACACTTCATGGCATTGCTTTGAGACTCGGTACTCGACATCCGAGTTGTGCTCCCCACTGCACTATTTTCAGGTTCAGAATGATTACGGTATTGCGGTACTGTACGGTGTCCCGCATATTTCAGACTCGGTCTTGGTTCGGGACCAACGTCTGGCTCAGCATGGGTCCGGTGTCGGTCTGGCATACGCTACTATCTTATTTTCAGGTCTGGACTTGGTTTGGCATTGGCGAGGCACGGGTCGCTGCAACTTACAGTGCTTGTTTCAGGTTCGGCACCCGGGTCGGTATGGTTGGCGCCACGGATCACGGGATCGGTTTTGGTTGGCACTGGTATGATGATACTAGGCTGGCGTGACTTWGTCTACAGATCCGGCATTCGTACGGTATGGTATATTGTTGGTTKWCCCGGATTCAACACTGCCAGGGAACGGACACGGCGAGTTGGTTTGATACAGGCTCGGTATGGTCAGCATTTGTTGTACATTACATCATTCGGCAGTTGCGCTGCCCCTTGGTGCTGATCGGGGCACTTGCCTCCGGCTTGGAAGAAGACCGAAACCCGCCAGACCACAGGCTTGGATGCGGGCCCGGTCCCTCTCATGACAGCGCAAAGGGCAAGGCTTGCTTCCGGACACGGCGAGCGGCAGTCAGGTACCGCTGTATATCACTTTGGTCCCTCGCTCGATGCGACATAGGTGAACTCTTAGATCCGTGCGCCGAGGATTCGCCTGGAGTGCCCTGGAAGTACTGGTACGCGGGTCTAGCGCGGGGGTTACGGGTCCTCAGTGCCACGCGCTGCGAAGCACGAGGGGCAGGCCCGACAGTAACAGGAGGTCGAGGGCCAGACGACATATAGTAAGTAAGGCGTGGAGACGAGGGAACGACAGGAGGTGAGCAAGGTGTACGCGGTGTAATGCGGCACTTGGCGGGCGTGTGTAACCGCACGGACGACCGCGAGGAAGGGGGAGTTCAGCAGGGCGAGCAAGGTGTTGGGGGGTGCTCGTGTGGATCAGCGGGAGAGACGTGCAAGGTGTTCCCCGCCCACACGCAGTTGCAGGTGCAGCGCGTCTGGAGGACCCGTGCCGTTCGTGAGCTGTTGCTGCTGTTGTGATGGCGGTGTGTGTGTGAGTGTGAACGGGAGAGTGAGAGACGGTGAAGAGAGACATGGAAATGTCGATGAGAGAGACAGGGAGAACAGAGGGGGGGGGTAGAGAGACGGAGCCCAGAGGAAAGGAGTGGGCGGTTGGAGGTACTACTTGTCTGCAATGTGAAGAGCCGCGTTCATTTCCGCTGTTGATAGGAGCAGCCACATCCAATTAGAGCCCTGTTCAGTTTCCCAGACGACGGATCCTGTTACWTCTCGTGCTACCTTTGGCTAGGGAGGGGATCGACCATCTCCGYTGTTGGGAGGAAGCAACCACTTTTAAAAGAGGGCCACACATCCCTTCTGTTGATTGGAAACTTTCAGATGACGAGATGATCTCCCGCTCCCGCCGTTGACCGAACCAACTGCATTTCAGGTATGTGTGACTTCGCTCGATGGTGGACAACACGCAGAACAGTGCCGGGAGGACCAACTCATGTAAAGCTCATCAAGGATTGAACCTGGGAAGAAAAAGAGGTCCAACAGGGATGGGAGCAGGAGAGGAAAGTCCATGCTGCAGCTTCAGACAGTTCTTTTAACGGTTTTATTATATATGGTTTCTTATGAGAACATATATATATATACACATATATATACATATATATTCATTCCACATGAACAGACTCGGGAGACTGGAGGACATCCTCTTCCTCACCCTCTTCTGTGTCCTTCTTCTTTTGCTTTTGGATCATGTCGTCCGCCTCGACGAAGATCGCTTTCCAGTAAGACAAAGCATCCTCCCGCTTGTCGACCTCCTCCTTCCTATATGTTTGCCACATGTGTCTATGTTGTTCGAGGACGTCCACAAATTTTTGGACACTGTCAC